CCCCCAAATAAAAAAGAAGGGTAACAAAATACCCAACCGTACCAACGAGCCTAAAGGCCTCGCCACACAGCACACGGCACACGAAACGAAAACGAAACTAAAAAAAAAGAAAAGAAAAGAAAAAAAAAAGAAACTAGTACATCTGGGCAGGAAAGGTGGCAAAATACAGGCGGTACTATTTATAGCAAACGCGTGAACCTGGCCATTTTCTGTGGGAAGATTTCGGTTTTTTTTTTTTTTTTTTTTTGAACTTTGCTTGGTATTAAAAGGACAAGAACAGAGGCCGGGGACCTCACAATTCAACCCCCGGATTGCTGAAAAACAGGTCCAGCATCCTATCTTGGGTATCAGACTGGAAAGCAGGTCCAGTGTCCTCAGAAGAAGAGATAGAATAACTGGCTGGAAACCAGCTCCAGCGTCCTTTCCCAAAAAATAGTAATTCTAGCATCTCTGCATATGACGGAAGAAAATCAGGTCCGGCATCCCTTTTTAGATTCAATGACATAGCTTTCTGATAGCCTTTTGCGTTCTGCTGCTCAGTGCCCTTACGAGCTCAAAAGGGACCTCAGACCTTCTCAGCCTGATGGGCTGCCTGCTGAATCCATAATACCTAGGTCTGTGAGTGGGTGGTGGGCCCACAAGAAGAGCTCCGAGTACCTGAGCTTGTCCATGTCATAGAAGTAGACCCAAGAGTGTAGAGAGGCCCACTTGGATTGGAAGCGAATCTTGGGAGATTCTGTCGAACCTGTTTGCTTCTTGATTTTGACCCACTCTGACATGGTCTAGTCTGATAGCATGCTTGTATTCTGCGAAGATAGAGCCCAGGGTGGTGGCTTTCTGAGAAAAGATTCGGTCTCTCCTAGCTAGCCAGAGCACCCAAAAGGCTCTCACCCGAAATAAATGTGCTATTTTGAGAGACGGTTTGTCACAAGCCTGTTCTGTTCTACCCGTGAAAACAAATTCCTTCTGCCATATTAGAGATCCTCCGTATGCTTGTGACCACATTTTTTGTAATCTGTCCCAAAAGCCTCTTGCAATGACACATTCCCACCGTAGATGCAACGAGTCTTCTAAAGCAGCTTGTGGGCAGGCTCTGCACAAAGTGACAACTCCACCAAGCAGGCCCTTTTCTGAGCACCACATCACTGTTGGGACGCAAGAGTGGAGGTGTAACCACTGTAGCCCCCCCTGTCTTGGTCTCCAATGCCCCTAGTCCGGCGGCCCTTTCATCAACCTGCTACAAAATCTGTGCAGGTTCCTCCGTTCTGCATAAATCAGATTGGGAACCGCAAATTTGAATTTGTGACGACGGATTGTTGCATGAGACCAAAACCTCCCTTTGAACCTACTGTCTGTTCTTGCCAACCATAAGATCCAGAAACACAATACTGAAAGTTTATTTGCAATACTAGCTACTCGATCTCGGTCTCGAGTACCCAACATTATGAATTCCCATAACCCAACCTTATGAATTCCTTAGTCCAGAACGCCTTTGGACCATAGGCGGAGTGCCACATACCGCAGATCCATTCCCAAAGACCCCTTGCCACAACACACTCCCACCACAGGTGACCAGAGTCCTCCAGTGACTCATGAGTGCACACCTCGCTCGGTGTGCGGGGAGGCTACCATGCCTTTGCTTGCACACCATTCATTCGGCGGTGCGGAAGGAACACTCGAGCGTAGGTGAAGCCACTGCAAAGCTGCAACTTTGGCCTCAAACACATTAAACAACCAGTGCCTTTCCCAGTTATGTTGTCAGATGTGCGGCGGGTAACGCGCTGGCCGGAAATGGAAGGGCGGCCGCTGATAAATCGAATCGGCGGCCAGTCTTGATTTTCGGGCCGGCGCACAGTGCCCCCGGCCAACATATGGGAAAGGTACTGGTTGGTTAAGTATCAGTGTCTGATGAAAAATTGGACCCACTGGCAGGTGGTGATGAAAGACACCCAGTTAGACACTCTGTTCTTTTCTTTCTCCTCCAGGCAACCCAGGCACCGACCTGAAGCCTGAGGGTGGAGGCTCGGGACCTCACGGCATAGCCCCACCTTGGAACTGTTGTCCGATATCAGCACTTTCG